CTGAACAAGTTCACTTTGAAAGAGAACTCATAAGTTTAATGATGCATGTCAAAAAGGCAGTGATCTGCAACAGTAGCCCTCCAATCAATACTTTGAATAAAACATTGACAGCAGAGAAATCCGTCTCTTTTATAACATTCATGAGTTTGGTTTTATGTTTTGAGTGTATTTTGCGAAACATGGGTGTGTTTTGTGTTGATCTTTGCTGAGATATTACATCATCAACAAAAGAAGAGAAAAGAGAAAGAGTTTATATTTGTATATATTATTACAGATTCTGCTGATTTTTTGTGTTGTTCTTTGCCGATGCAGGAGGGTCTAAAGCCTGGTTCACACGACAGGATAATTAGGCTAATTTAAGACCTGATTTACCCCTAACGACAATCTTAACAACGCTCAGATATTTGTTTAGGTAGGTAGGTTCTTTTTATTCATCTCATGAAAATGCATAGCTATACAAAATTCAAATCATTTAAACAAATCATTTAAACATTTGCATGATCAGAAAGGAGCAGATAGAAGAATAAAATTCTTATATTTTTCTGCCCCCTCTTTAAAAAAACAAAATTAGATGGTTTTTGCTGCTGATTCCTCTGCCTTCTTTATCAGAACATACACAATTATATATATATATATATATATATATATATATATATATATATATATATATATATATATATAATTGTATAATTGTAAATCTTTCTCTTGAGAATTCCACAATTTTACTCCAACCACAGACTGCTATTTGATGTTTGAAGTCATATCTCCCTCTATGATTTTGATTTTCTGAAGTAAACACAAATAAATGTTGTAACTCTTCTGGAAGAGCTGTTTCTGGCTTTAAACACGATCAATAACGTTTGTAACTCACCTATATTCTTGAACTTAAGTAGTCCTGATCTAATGAAAAGGGGATTAGTGTGAATCCAGCTTTATAAACAATTCGAATGTCTCTTTTCTGTAATAGAACTAAAGGCTTTATGTTGGTGCTGTAGCTATTACCCCATATTTCTACACAGTAATTAAAGTAAGGAAGTATCATTGAGCAATAAAACATTCTCAAAGTGTTACATGGTAACAAATATTTGGATTTATTCAATATAAATAAACTTTTAGATACCTTGTTCTTTACATGCATTATATGTGATTTCCAAGTCAGTTTGTCCAAGATCACTCCGAGAAATCTAATTTCCGACACTTTCTCAATATTAATTAATAGAATAGTTTTTAAAAATCTGATGGATTTTCCATGTGTGGTTAAGACTGCGTCGCTCAGACGGACTTCAGGACTGCTCCGATCTCAGGGATATCCAACATGTTGGATTGTTTTGGCCTAATTTCTCTTTGTGAGTGGTGTCGGGGACAGACGAGCTGCCAGTGACTGCACCATTTTAAAATCGTCTCGTGTGAACCAGGCTTTAGGAGGGTCTAAGGACAGTGGTGAAGATCCAGGATATTCAACGACATCAATCATTTATTTGTATCGCACAATTAGTTTACAAGGCATTTCAAAGTGCTTCACAGGAGCCATTTAAGAACACACATCAAAATGCATCAATGAAACATACAATCATTTATTAAAGATAAGATGAGATAAGATACACTTTATTGATCTTTCAAGGGAGAAAAACGTAAGGGGTTCAAAACTCTTCTTAAAATGTGGGTTTAAAAAGGGAGATAAATAAGAAATAGACTCAGGTGTAAGCACAGCTATGATTTCTTGGTCATCGTATGGACCAATGGCTCTATGTGTTTTCCTGTGGTTGAACTGTTTGATTCTCTGATCTGTGTCGGAGAATCAAACAGTATTCCGAGATACCTACTGTTGTGATTTAGTGCTGCACAAAAATAAAACCGAACAGAATTGAAGTATATATCCGTATAAATTCACACAGACTCTGCTGAAGAAGTGATGAAGTAGAGTTTGAAAAGACTTTTTTTCCCACAATAATTTCATCTAGGAGCAACAAAACAAGAGCTCGTTCTGAGAAGTCGACTTTCTTCTGCAGACCCCATAGCGAGGCGCCGGCACCTTGTATTGATCAACACAAAGTCCCAAATAAATGAGCGCAGAATGAGTGCTCTGCTCCGGGGAGTTCAGGCCGCGGCGGCACCGTAGGCTCCCATCAATTTTAATCAGGGCCTAATGAAGAGGCTCCTCTCTGCTGGTGTCCATAACTCAAAGCCAGAGCGCTCCTCCACCTCAATCAAATCACTGCTCACAACTCTAATGACCTTTTCTCCATAAACAATGGCTGCATTAACGCGCTGAGAAGACGGCGAGACGCGGAGCTAAAAGTTGAATGCTTACAGGACACGAAGGATGTAATCAAGCTCTCTTCAAAAACCAGCCTCGAAAGACAAAGGCATTTTCAGAGTTCACAAAGAGAAATCAACACGGCTCAATGAGGTTCTCAGAAAACGGCTCAGGTGCAGTGTCGCAACAATATCACAGAAAACATTACAGGCTGAAGGGGTTTGTTCCGGGGAATAATGACAAACAGCAAACATTATCAAAGATTTGGACTGGTTTATAACTGTGTGACTCTGTGTTTAACGCACGTGGAAACCCAGTCTGTTTCTCCAACATTAGCAGGGTCGGAGAGTCTGCCCCCTTGTGTGAAATCTCTAGCTTTAGCATAATAAAGAAGCTAATCTAAAATCTCTAGCTTTAGCATAATAAAGAAACTAGTATAAAATCTCTAGCTTTAGCATAATAAAGAAGCTAATCTAAAATCTCTAGCTTTAGCATAATAATTTCACCTCAGTGTAAGTAACATTTTTGAACTTTTGTTTGATGCCTTCTGTTTCTGTTTCTGAAGTCTGTTCTGAGCAGTCTGTTACCTTCACTCACACAGATAGTAAACATGTCCCTTCATTCTGGAATATTCCCAAAGGCCCTGAAAACTGCAGTCATCAGGCCCCTGCTAAAAAAGAGCAGTCTCGATGCTACGGTACTTAACAACTACCGTCCCATCTCAAATCTGCCATTTATGGGGAAAGTCCTTGAGAAAGTCGTCTACCTACAGCTTACTAGATTTCTTATAATCAACAACTCATTTGATATGTTTCAGTCCGGCTTTAGACCCCACCACAGCACTGAGACTGCTCTCGTTAAGGTTACAAACGATATCCGGCTGAACACTGACGCAGGCAAAGTCTCAATCTTAATCTTGTTAGATCTGAGTGCTGCCTTTGACACCGTCGACCATGAGATCCTTTTACAGAGACTAGAGGACTGGGTTGGCGTCACTGGCACCGCCCTAAGTTGGTTTAGGTCTTACCTTGAAGACAGGAAGTACTTTGTGGAGATTGGAGACTGTGTCTCAGATTATATGGCCCTGACCTGTGGAGTCCCACAGGGGTCGATCCTGGGACCTCTTCTGTTCAATCTCTACATGCTGCCGTTAGGTCAGTTAATACGCAGAAACAAAGTGTCCTATCATAACTATGCAGACGACACTCAGATCTATGTCTCACTGACTGCAGGAGAACATGGACCAGTGGACTCACTCCTTCACTGTATCCAACAGATCAGTGAGTGGATGCAAAACAACTTCCTTCAGCTAAACGCGGACAAAACTGAAATGATTGTCTTTGGTCCCCAGAAACAAAGAGAGAGCGTCATCTGTCACCTACAGTCTCTCTCCCTAAAACCTTCAAACAAGGTCAGAAATCTAGGGGTAATACTGGACTCAGACTTAAATTTTAATAGCCACATCAAATCAGTAACATCAGCAGCTTTTTACCATCTAAAAAACATTGCCAGGATCAAAAACATAGTGTCTAAAGCAGACCTGGAGATTCTTATCCATGCATTTGTCTCCAGTAGGTTAGACTACTGCAATGGCCTGCTCACAGGTCTGTCCAAACAGGCTGTAAAACAGCTGCAGTACATTCAAAATGCAGCAGCTCGAGTCCTGACTAGAACCAGGAAGTACGATCACATTAGTCCTGACTAGAACCAGGAAGTACGACCATATTAGTCCTGACTAGAACCAGGAAGTACGACCACATTAGTCCTGACTAGAACCAGGAAGTACGACCACATTAGTCCAGTCCTCAGGTCTCTGCACTGGCTTCCTGTGGCTCAGAGAATAGACTTTAAAACAGCTCTGCTTGTTACAAGTCTCTCCATGGCCTCGCACCAAAATATATTAGTGACATGTTAGTCCCATATGAACCAGCCCGGACTCTGAGGAGCACAGGGACTGGACTCCTGCTGGGACTCTGAGGAGCACAGGGACTGGACTCCTGCTGGGACTCTGAGGAGCACAGGGACTGGACTCCTGCTGGGACTCTGAGGAGCACAGGGACTGGCCTCCTGCTGGGACTCTGAGGAGCACAGGGACTGGACTCCTGCTGTGGACTCTGAGGAGCACAGGGACTGGACTCCTGCTGGGACTCTGAGGAGCACAGGGACTGGACTCCTGTTAGTGCCCAGAGTCAGAACTAAACATGGGGAGGCTGCTTTTCAGATTCATGCTGCTAAAATCTGGAACAGTCTTCCTGAAGATGTGAGACAGGCCTCCTCTCTGACAATGTTTAAAACCAGGTTAAAGACAGTTCTGTTCAGCTGTGCTACAACTGAGGGATTTTATATTTTTATCTTTCTTTTTAATGTTCTGTGATAATTTATGATTTTAATGCTTTCTTGTTTTGTTCAGCACTTTGAGTTGCCTTGTGTATGAATTGTGCTATACAAATAAACTTGCCTTGCCTTGCCTTGCCTTCTCTCTTCTCACTAACTTACATCAACAAAAACCTGGAAAAAAACAGGACACAGAGCATTTCTGTGTGTATGTGTGTGTATGTGTGTGTGTGTGTGTGTGTGTGTGCATGTGTGTGCATGTGTGTGTGTGTGTGTGTGTATATATGTGTGTGTGTGTGTCTCTCCCTGGTCCACATTTAGAGCCAGTAAATCTGTTACAAATGAGTCCGAAGACAATCTTGTGAGTTAAGACATGAACAACCTGCTGGAGTGAAGTGGAAAGTCACCTTCATGTAATCTCCTGCCTCCTCCTCCTGCCTCCTCCTCCTCTGCCTCCTCCTCCTCCTGCCTCCTCCTCCTCTGCCTCCTTCTCCTCCTGCCTCTCCCTCCTCCTCCCGCCTCCTCCTCCTCCTCCTGCCTCCTCCCCCTGCCTCTGCCTCCTCCTTCCGCCTCCTCCCCCTGCCTCTGCCTCCTCCTTCCGCCTCCTCCTCCTGCCTCTCCCTCCTCCTCCCGCCTCCTCCTCCTCCTCCTGCCTCCTCCCCCTGCCTCTGCCTCCTCCTTCCGCCTCCTCCCCCTGCCTCTGCCTCCTCCTTCCGCCTCCTCCTCCTGCCTCTGCCTCCTCCTTCCGCCCAGTGGGGGCGGGTCCCGGCTCAAAAGTGTCCCTAATGACGTGCGCTGACATGCTGCAGTACCACCCCGGGCCTGTGGGGGTGGACCCGGAATAAGAATTAGCCAATGCTAACATATAGCAATAGCAGACCTCTGGAAAACGTCTTTACAGGATGGACCAAAAGTTGTCTCTTGGCCCAAAGCTCCGTTCCACATGTGTGTCAATGCTGAGTGTTCTGGACCAGTCTAGTTTAGTCGCTGTGGACTTTAGAAGTCTCTTGTTCAAATGAATGGAGCTGCTCCGGCTGACGCATGCACAGATGCGTTTTTTCACAATTTTCTTGTGGGCGGGACCACTCACGGCCATTTTGGATAGCTCCAGTAGAGCACTTTTTTTGGCCCATTAGTTAGAACGGCGGAGATAGACGTGACTCTGTCCGTTAATATATACCATATGTATCAAACACACACTTGCATGTGGTGGGCATGTATTTGTGACCTCTGTGAAGCTTAAAGGTCCCAGTCTAGTTTTGTTTACTGCTAAAACTGAAGTTTATTTGTCTGTTATAACAATACATGTGGTGTGCAGGTTCAAAATAATAATAATTCGGAGAAATACAAAGAAAATATAACTTTAAATACAGAAACAACAGTTTGTCGAAACATCTGACTAGTAAATAGTGTGTTGCTATAGTAACTAGCACTAGATCTGTTCTGGTAGAAAAACAAGCTCAGAACCAGCTTGAGAAACGGGCCTCGAGTTCTGGTGTTAATCTGTCTTGATGAATATCGGCTCATCACATAAACATCCAGCCGGAGACTAAAGGTAACTATTGTTTAACTATAATCATCTGGAAGTGCTTTGAGGCGGCTGTGATCGCAGCTCATCTGCTCGGTCCAGAGATAGATCCTCTCTAGACCAGGTCTGGGATCAGGGCGCCGCACTTTGGCCCTGCTCTGCAGAGGTCTAGTGTGCTCCGAGACATACGCTGGAGCCAGGGTTATATAACCCACGGCCCGCACCATCTGCCCTGGGCCGCAGGCGCCTCCCACACCTCTGGAGCCAGCTTTCATGCTCTTAATCTCCCAGCCTTCAATTAATGCGATTATGAAACGATACTCAGTAAAGCAAACACATACAGAACAAGCAAATGAGGAAGGAGATCTGTGCATCTAACGCTGAAGATAGCATGTGTTGAAATAGTAATGGCCAATGTTGATATGGCCCCGCACAGAGCAGAACAAGAGGGACTTTTTGGACAATAAATCGTAAATCATCTCAGCTCACCACACGAGGAGCTGACAGAGTTAGCTCCTGTGTGGCCCGCGCATGCTAATGCCGCTCCACAGATCTGAAGCCACAGAACTCACACTTTCTGGTCAGGACTGCTCTGGTTCTCAATTTGTCGCATTAGGAGAATCCATAGTGGCAAAATAAACAGTGGCAGGAGGAGAGACTGTGGGGGAAACGTGTCCTCTGCATTTGACCCATGCTTCAATACAACTGACAGAAGCTCGGCAGCACTGGGACTCTTTCTCTTGAGCCAAAAACATTGTATTCATTAGCACCAAGCTGGATTATTTAAGCCAATTTATTTTTGTATTGCCCAAAATCACGACAACAGATCAGAGAGATCAGTTTGTACACAGATAATGCAAGAAAAAAATCACACATAGAAGCTGTTGGTTTATAGGGAGTGGGATGTCCATAAATGTCCATAAATGTCCATAAATGTCCATAAATGTCCTTAAATGTCCTGGATCTACGTGGTCTGCTCTGTCTGATGCACACTGGGGAAGTCTTCCACAGTTATAATGTGGTTTCACTACAAATGGCAAATAAACTGAATCTGAATCAGATCCTCACTGATCTGAGAAGGAACCACAACATTTTCTAAAACCCAGTGGGAAAAAGTGAGAAACCTTGGGGAGGCCCACATTGAGAGATGGATCTGCTCCCAGGACTGAGGCTGTAGACCCAGGACTGAGGCTGTAGACCCAGGACTGAGGTTGTAGACCCAGGACTGAGGCTGTAGACCCAGGACTGAGGCTGTAGACCCAGGACTGAGGCTGTAGACCCAGGACTGAGGCTGTAGACCCAGGACTGAGGCTGTAGACCCAGGACTGAGGCTGTAGACCCAGGACTGAGGCTGTTGACCCAGGACTGAGGCTGTAGACCCAGGACTGAGGCTGTAGACCCAGGACTGAGGTTGTAGACCCAGGACTGAGGCTGTAGACCCAGGACTGAGGCTGTAGACCCAGGACTGAGGCTGTTGACCCAGGACTGAGGCTGTAGACCCAGGACTGAGGCTGTAGACCCAGGACTGAGGCTGTAGACCCAGGACTGAGGCTGTAGACCCAGGACTGAGGTTGTAGACCCAGGACTGAGGCTGTAGACCCAGGACTGAGGCTGTAGACCCAGGACTGAGGCTGTAGACCCAGGACTGAGGCTGTAGACCCAGGACTGAGGCTGTAGACCCAGGACTGAGGCTGTAGACCCAGGACTGAGGCTGTTGACCCAGGACTGAGGCTGTAGACCCAGGACTGAGGCTGTAGACCCAGGACTGAGGTTGTAGACCCAGGACTGAGGCTGTAGACCCAGGACTGAGGCTGTAGACCCAGGACTGAGGCTGTAGACCCAGGACTGAGGCTGTAGACCCAGGACTGAGGCTGTAGACCCAGGACTGAGGCTGTAGACCCAGGACTGAGGCTGTAGACCCAGGACTGAGGCTGTAGACCCAGGACTGAGGCTGTTGACCCAGGACTGAGGCTGTAGACCCAGGACTGAGGCTGTTGACCCAGGACTGAGGCTGTAGATCCAGGACTGAGGCTGTAGACCCAGGACTGAGGCTGTAGACCCAGGACTGAGGCTGTAGACTCAGCACTGAGGCTGTTTACTGTAGATCCAAGGCCTGAGGCTGTAGACCCAGGACTAAGGCTGTAGACCCAGGACTGAGGCTGTAGACCCAGGACTGAGGCTGTAGACCCAGGACTGAGGCTGTAGACTCAGCACTGAGGCTGTTTACTGTAGATCCAAGGCCTGAGGCTGTTGACCCAGGACTTAGTCTGTAGACCCAGGACTGAGGCTGTAGACCCAGGACTGAGGCTGTAGACCCAGGACTGAGGCTGTGGACCCAGGACTGAGGCTGTAGACCCAGGACTGAGGCTGTAGACCCAGGACTGAGGCTGTAGACCCAGGACTGAGGCCGTAGACCCAGGACTGAGGCTGTAGACCCAGGACTGAGGCTGTAGACCCAGGACTGAGGCTGTAGACCCAGGACTGAGGCCGTAGACCCAGGACTGAGGCTGTAGACCCAGGACTGAGGCTGTAGACCCAGGACTGAGGCTGTAGACCCAGGACTGAGGCTGTAGACCCAGGACTGAGGCTGTAGACCCAGGACTGAGGTTGTAGACCCAGGACTGAGGCTGTAGACCCAGGACTGAGGCTGTAGACCCAGGACTGAGGCTGTAGACCCAGGACTGAGGCTGTAGACCCAGGACTGAGGCTGTTGACCCAGGACTGAGGCTGTAGACCCAGGACTGAGGCTGTAGACCCAGGACTGAGGCTGTAGACCCAGGACTGAGGCTGTAGACCCAGGACTGAGGCTGTAGACCCAGGACTGAGGCTGTAGACCCAAGACTGAGGCTGTAGACCCAGGACTGAGGCTGTAGACCCAGGACTGAGGCTGTTGACCCAGGACTGAGGCTGTAGATCCAGGACTGAGGCTGTAGATCCAGGACTGAGGCTGTTGACCCAGGACTGAGGCTGTAGACCCAGGACTAAGGCTGTAGACCCAGGACTGACGCTGTTGACCCAGGACTTAGTCTGTAGACCCAGGACTGAGGCTGTAGACCCAGGACTGAGACTGTAGACCCAGGACTGAGGCTGTAGACCCAGGACTGAGGCTGTGTACTGTAGACCCAGGACTGAGGCTGTAGACCCAGGACTGAGGCTGTAGACCCAGGACTGAGGCTGTGTACTGTAGACCCAGGACTGAGGCTGTAGACCCAGGACTGAGGCTGTGTACTGTAGTAGACCCAGGACTGAGGCTGTAGACCCAGGACTGAGGCTGTAGACCCAGGACTGAGGCTGTAGACCCAGGACTGAGGCTGTAGACCCAGGACTGAGGCTGTAGACCCAGGACTGAGGCTGTAGACCCAGGACTGAGGCTGTAGACCCAGGACTGAGGCTGTAGACCCAGGACTGAGGCTGTAGACCCAGGACTGAGGCTGTAGACCCAGGACTGAGGCTGTAGACCCAGGACTGAGGCTGTAGACCCAGAGACCAGGACTGAGGCTGTAGACCCAGGACTGAGGCTGTAGACCCAGGACTGAGGCTGTAGACCCAGGACTGAGGCTGTAGACCCAGGACTGAGGCTGTAGACCCAGGACTGAGGCTGTAGACCCAGGACTGAGGCTGTAGACCCAGGACTGAGGCTGTAGACCCAGGACTGAGGCTGTAGACCCAGGAATGAGGCTGTAGACCCAGGACTGAGGCTGTAGACCCAGGACTGAGGCTGTAGACCCAGGACTGAGGCTGTAGACCCAGGACTGAGGCTGTAGACCCAGGACTGAGGCTGTAGACCCAGGACTGAGGCTGTAGACCCAGGACTGAGGCTGTAGACCCAGGACTGAGGCTGTAGACCCAGGACTGAGGCTGTAGACCCAGGACTGAGGCTGTAGACCCAGGACTGAGGCTGTAGACCCAGGACTGAGGCTGTAGACCCAGGACTGAGGCTGTAGACCCAGGACTGAGGCTGTAGACCCAGGACTGAGGCTGTAGACCCAGGACTGAGGCTGTAGACCCAGGACTGAGGCTGTAGACCCAGGACTGAGGCTGTAGACCCAGGACTGAGGCTGTAGACCCAGGACTGAGCCTGTGAGGCTGTAGACCCAGGACTGAGGCTGTGTAGACCCAGGACTGAGGCTGTAGACCCAGGACTGACTGAGGCTGTAGACCCAGGACTGAGGCCGTAGACCCAGGATCTGAGGCTGTAGACCCAGGACTGAGGCTGTAGACCCAGGACTGAGGCTGTAGACCCAGGACTGAGGCCGTAGACCCAGGACTGAGGCTGTAGACCCAGGACTGAGGCTGTAGATCCAGGACTGAGGCTGTAGACCCAGGACTGAGGCTGTAGACCCAGGACTGAGGCCGTAGACCCAGCACTGAGGCTGTAGACCCAGGACTGAGGCTGTAGACCCAGGACTGAGGCTGTAGACCCAGGACTGAGGCCGTAGACCCAGGACTGAGGCTGTAGACCCAGGACTGAGGCTGTAGATCCAGGACTGAGGCTGTAGACCCAGGACTGAGGCTGTAGATCCAGGACTGAGGCCGTAGACCCAGGACTGAGGCTGTAGACCCAGGACTGAGGCTGTAGACCCAGGACTGAGGCCGTAGACCCAGGACTGAGGCTGTAGACCCAGGACTGAGGCTGTAGACCCAGGACTGAGGCCGTAGACCCAGGACTGAGGCTGTAGACCCAGGACTGAGGCTGTAGATCCAGGACTGAGGCCGTAGACCCAGGACTGAGACTGTAGACCCAGGACTGAGGCTGTAGACCCAGGACTGAGGCTGTAGGCCGACAGTGAGAGGAGAATGATGCGTGCTAAAGTCTCACGTAAACGCCTGATGGATTATGAATTATGTCAAAATGTCGTTTGTCGGCCTCGGTCAGATTTTGCAATCAGCCGACGAGGTTCTTTTGGATGAAAACCCACTTTAGCCAAACAACTCATCACACAACAGGAAGATGGCTCCGCAGCACCTGGAGCCCCCACTTTCTCTGTGTACGGATCGACAGCGATCTAACAGCTCCGGTCGTGCTCTGAGGGAAGCGATCACACAAACACCTTAAAACGTAACCTCCAGGATTTGTTTTTTGTTTCATGAAAAGTGAATAATTAAAATAGAGTGATTTGTGAGAAGCTTCAAACGTACCCTTTAATCTTGTGTAAGTTTAGCCTGAGACAAAGCTGTAAAATACAATACATTTTTCTATTTTAATTTGCGGGTTCAAGCAAATATTTCTTTCCTGCTTTGAAAGTTTTGTGAGTAAAAAATACAGACTTTGCTCAAATAAACTGGAGATACAACGATCCAACTTCTTTGACTGCTAACTTTATAGCCTAACATGTACATTTGCACTGTGACTTTGGAAAATTATCAATGTGCCATCAACTGTCATGAGGTGAAATGAAAAGGGAAAGTCAAAAGTCCAAAAGAAAGACTGATAATTAACTGAGTAATTTGAGTAAATGAAACCAAATACAGACATAAACATAAAGTTAAAACAAAGAGACACAGGTGAATAACATGAGGGTGAAGCGAAGTATCAATGGGACAGAAAGGATAAAAACTCTAAAGATTAAGATTAGACAGTGGCGGCACAGTGGCTGGTTCAAATCCCGGTTGGAACAGGGCGGTGTCTGCTCCGGTTTCCTGCGGGTGCTCCGGTTTCCCCTACCACTAAAAACATGCACAATAGGTCTGTGCCTCCTGTACTGGCCCCGCCCATCTCTGTGTGGAGTGACAGACTAACGCCCACAACTGTGAAACCGCTGTGACTCCGCTCTGCAAAGAGGACCGTGGGCTGTGAGCTTCCTGTTCTGGAGGTTCTTTATGAATCCAGACTTTTAAGCAAAGCTCTTAGGATTGTTAATGACTCTTCTGGCCACCCTGGGAAAGCCATGTTCCAGCTTCTTCCCTCTGGCAGAAGATATCGCTCTCTGAGATGCAGGACATCTCGTTACGCTAACAGTTTTTATCCACAGGCTGTTATCAGTGTGAACAGAGCACTTTAATGATTTGCACTTGTTTTGAAACTGTTTTAGTCGATCCATTTCACAGTGACATTTGTTTACTGTTTTATTTCTGTCTTTTAATGTTGTTTTATGTCTGTATTTGTCTGTGCACACTGGAGACTTCTGCTAATGTATTCCAATGTGGTTTTACTGCAAATGGCAAATAAACTGAATCTGAATCTGAGAAAGGCGCTGTATAAATAAATATTACTGACGTACTTACTGTGGGGAAATGTCAGTGTTGCATCACCGGTTACAGAACAGAAGAAATGAGGAGCACAAGATACATTTTAACTCTATATTGAAACAAAAATATCTCTAACTTCAGTATAATCAAGAAGATAGTTTGAATAAAAACTCTCCACATGTCGCATCAAAACCATGAAAGAATTCTCACGTGTTTGTCCTCAGAGTGAGCGACCGAAACACACGCCTCCCTCTTATCTGGCAACACTGAGGCTGTCATCGCTGATTGATGATGACCTTCAGTCTATTCACAGTAAAACAGGGTAAAGTGGTGATGGGACCAAAACATGTATAAATAATTAAGAATAAATGCTTTGAAGATTAAAGAAATGCAATTAGAAGTAGTTTCAATAGATTCAAAGTCTCGTCCAGTTGAAGTTGGTCACACGTGCTCATCTACAGAGTACAGTTACTTTCAGATTTTATGTCAGCTGCAAACTGGCAACAAAATGGGTCGTCTGATTGGTTTTGAGCACAATGAGTGACAACGAGGAAGCAAAGAAGACCGATCTTTGGCATACACATAACATTTTAGCTATTCATCATAATCTGTGGCCCCTTAAGATTTTTATAGACACACACACACACACACACACACACACACACACACACACACACACACACACACACACACACACACACACACACACACACACACACACACACACACACACACACACACACACACACAGACACACACACAGACCAATAGTTCATATAAGAATCCACTTTCACAAATGAGCAGCATCCTAAATGCACTCTTCATTATTAGAAGTGAATCTAGACAAACATCCCGGGCCCAGACCTCACGGATCTCTGCTGCGTCCGGTCACGATCGAAGCGAAAAGCTGAGTTCATGAGTTGTATCCAGTGGAAACGAAGGAGTTTAAAGCTAGAGCTGAACACCTGTAAGGTCAGGTGGCTCTCTCCTGCCGCGCAGCTCTGGACCCATCACTCGGTTCACAGCTGCTGCATTTGGATTCCCTGCCCCTCCTCAAATCCCACAGTGTGCTCTCAAGGAAACGTGTGCAAATGAATTATGGAAATTTCTGATGGGAAGCGCGGTGCATTAGTGTTTCATTTAGGCAGCTCATATCCTGCAGCCCTGCTCCAGCCTCCCAGGGCCGGAGCGCCAGAGTGCATCCACAGGGGTGCGTCTGAGCTGGGGTAGGGGCCGCCCCATTTATCTGCCACTGGCCTGGGCCTGTCTGATACCGCTGGATTTATCACTCTGCCTCCAGCTGCAGGGGCCACGGACTCAACACACCTCGGCGCGCTCTCCTCCACCTCTGAAACTCACTCCAGACACATTTTTATTTGCGGATTTGCTCCATTTTTGACTCTGCTCCCGCTAAAGGACGCTGATTTGTTGATCCATGTTGTGTGTTCACAGAGAGACGGGGCTCTCCTCTCGCTGCGGGCAGGAGAGAAAGTACTGTTACTACTATTGGTACAGAGTGTTCCCCGACCTTCGTCACACCACCAGCTGAAACTAAAAGAAATAGATATATTTTTCCATCCATCCATTTTCTACCCTTTAATCCATTTCTGGGTCAGGGGGGTGGCAGTCAGAGATGCCACCCAAGTCTCATAGCACCAGCCCCTCACTGACCCTCTGCAGGTGGTGAGTCCACAGGAGGACGGCTGCTCTCTGAGTGTGAGCATAGCCTTGATCTTTCAGTGGGGGCTTTGGGCAAAGTGGGGTTAAGTGTCTTGCCCAAGGACACAACGACAGCAGTCATCAGTGGGAGTCGGTGGAGAAGGTGCAGAGGTGGGAATTGAACCCACGACCTTCTGGCCTTAAGGCCAATGCTCTACCAACTGAGCTAGTGTCGCCCTTACTATTACTACTATTGGTACAGAGTGTTCCCCGACCTTCGTCACACCACCAGCTGAAACTAAAAGAAATAGATATATTTTTTAACGTTGTTATTGTTTTACTTTCACATCACCTCAAATATCGAATACATTACATTATTTGCACACATCTTTAAGACACTTGTGAATAACTGACTCCCCAAAAAGCTCTACAAAGCTTAAAAATGGGGTCCCACAATTAAAGAACTGTCTTTAACCTGGATTCGAACATTGTCAGAGAAGAAGCCTGTCTCACTTTTTCAGAAAAACTGTTCCAGATTTTAGCTGCATAAATCTGAAATGCAGCCTCCCCATGTTTTGATCTGACTCTGGGACCAGCAGGAGGCCAGTCCCTGTGCTCCTCAGAGTCCCAGCAGGAGGCCAGTCCCTGTGCTCCTCAGAGTCCCAGCAGGAGGCCAGTCCCTGTGCTCCTCAGAGTCCCAGCAGGAGGCCAGTCCCTGTGCTCCCCAGAGTCCCAGCAGGAGGCCAGTCCCTGTGCTCCTCAGAGTCCCAGCAGGAGGTCAGTCCCTGTGCTCCTCAGAGTCCCAGCAGGAGGCCAGTCCCTGTGCTCCTCAGAGTCCCAGCAGGAGGCCAGTCCCTGTGCTCCTCAGAGTCCCAACAGGAGGCCAGTCCCTGTGCTCCTCAGAGTCCCAGCAGGAGGCCAGTCCCTGTGCTCCTCAGAGTCCCAGCAGGAGGCTAGTCCCTGTGCTCCTCAGAGTCCCAGCAGGAGGCCAGTCCCTGTGCTCCTCAGAGTCCCAGCAGGAGGCCAGTCCCTGTGCTCCTCAGAGTCCCAGCAGGAGGCCAGTCCCTGTGCTCCTCAGAGTCCCAGCAGAGGCCTGTCCCTGTGCTCCTCAGAGTCTCAGCAGGAGGCCAGTCCCTGTGCTCCTCAGAGTCCCAGCAGGAGGCCAGTCCCTGTGCTCCTCAGAGTCCCAGCAGGAGGCCAGTCCCTGTGCTCCTCAGAGTCCCAGCAGGAGGCCAGTCCCTGTGCTCCTCAGAGTCCCAGCAGGAGGCCAGTCCCTGTGCTCCTCAGAGTCCCAGCAGGAGGCCATGTCCTTGAGTGTTGTTTGTGCACGTGTTGCAGGTTTGAAGCAGAGACAGGACAGATAAGCATTACCTTTCAGCTCCGAGGCTCTGCTGTGGCCTTATGTAAGGGCACGACGACAGAATGGATTTGCCACAAGTGAGAGTTCTCCCAGAGGTTTGTAAATGCTCTCTCTCATGTGTCCAGAGCAGAGTGTGTCCAGAGCAGAGTGTGTCCAGAGCAGAGTGTGTCCAGACGGACTGCTTTCACATCTCATTCACGGCATCAAAAACCACCTTTACAACCGTCATTATCTAAACACGCCAACAACTGCAATTGTGTGGCTCGTTTTGACTGGATTGTGTGGCTAGTTTTGACTGGATTGTGTGACTAGTTTGGCTGGATTGTGTGGCTAGTTTGGCTGGATTGTGGGGCTACTTTGACTGGATTGTGTGGCTAGTTTCGCTGGATTGTGTGGCTAGTTTGGCTGGATTGTGTAGCTTGTTTTGGCTGGATTGTGTGGCTAGTTTGGCTGGATTGTGTGGCTAGTTTGGCTGGATTGTGTGGCTAGTTTGGCTGGATTGTGTGGCTAGTTTGGCTTGTTTGGCTGGATTGTGTGGCTAGTTTGGCTGGATTGTGTAGCTAGTTTGGCTGGATTGTGTGGCTTGTTTGGCTGGATTGTGTGGCTAGTTTGGCTGGATTGTGTAGCTTGTTTGGCTGGATTGTGTGGCTTGTTTGTCTGGATTGTGTGGCTAGTTTGGCTGGATTGTGTGGCTAGTTTGGCTGGATTGTGTGGCTAGTTTGGCTGGATTGTGTGGCTTGTTTGGCTGGATTGTGTAGCTTGTTTGGCTGGATTGTGTGGCTAGTTTGGCTGGATTGTGTGGCTAGTTTGGCTGGATTGTGTGGCTAGTTTGGCTGGATTGTGTGGCTTGTTTGGCTGGATTGTGTGGCTAGTTTGGCTGGATTGTGTGGCTAGTTTGGCTGGATTGTGTGGCTTGTTTGGCTGGATTGTGTGGCTAGTTTGGCTGGATTGTGTGGCTAGTTTGGCTGGATTGTGTGGCTAGTTTGGCTGGATTGTGTGGCTTGTTTGGCTGGATTGTGTGGCTAGTTTGGCTGGATTGTGTGGCTTGTTTGGCTGGATTGTGTGGCTTGTTTGGCTGGATTGTGTGGCTTGTTTGGCTGGATTGTGTGGCTAGTTTGGCTGGATTGTGTGGCTAGTTTGGCTGGATTGTGTGGCTAGTTTGGCTGGATTGTGTGGCTAGTTTGGCTGGATTGTGTGGCTAGTTTGGCTGGATTGTGTGGCTTGTTTGGCTGGATTGTGTGGCTAGTTTGGCTGGATTGTGTAGCTTGTTTGGCTGGATTGTGTGGCTTGTTTGTCTGGATTGTGTGGCTAGTTTGGCTGGATTGTGTGGCTAGTTTGGCTGGATTGTGTGGCTAGTTTGGCTGGATTGTGTGGCTTGTTTGGCTGGATTGTGTAGCTTGTTTGGCTGGATTGTGTGGCTAGTTTGGCTGGATTGTGTGGCTAGTTTGGCTGGATTGTGTGGCTAGTTTGGCTGGATTGTGTGGCTTGTTTGGCTGGATTGTGTGGCTAGTTTGGCTGGATTGTGTGGCTAGTTTGGCTGGATTGTGTGGCTTGTTTGGCTGGATTGTGTGGCTAGTTTGGCTGGATTGTGTGGCTAGTTTGGCTGGATTGTGTGGCTAGTTTGGCTGGATTGTGTGGCTTGTTTGGCTGGATTGTGTGGCTAGTTTGGCTGGATTGTGTGGCTTGTTTGGCTGGATTGTGTGGCTTGTTTGGCTGGATTGTGTGGCTTGTTTGGCTGGATTGTGTGGCTAGTTTGGCTGGATTGTGTGGCTTGTTTGGCTGGATTGTGTGGCTAGTTTGGCTGGATTGTGTGGCTAGTTTGGCTGGATTGTGTGGCTAGTTTGGCTGGATTGTGTGGCTAGTTTGGCCGGATTGTGTGGCTAGTTTGGCTGGATTGTGTGGCTTGTTTGGCTGGATTGTGTGGCTAGTTTGGCTGGATTGTGTAGCTTGTAGGCCGTGCAAAAGTCCAGCTCGGTGCAGACTGGTCTCAGTTCCGTTCTTGTAGCTGTCTTTACAGAAGGCAAGGTTTTTTTTTGTACAGCGCAGTTCATGCACAAGGCAACTCAGAAAGATAGAAACAATCACACAAGGCATTCACATCATGGACAATCACAGTGCATTCAGTAAAAGATATTTGTAGAACAGATAAACAGAACTGTCGTGGTGATGGACTTTTTGATTACTTTTACCGCATTTTGTTTTGAAATGAGTTTTTCTCCCAGTGTTGCTTCATGTCTGTTCTGTGGAACTTGTGTGTGTGTTTGTGTGTGTGCGTGTGTTTGTGTTTTGTGTGTTTGTGTGTTTTGTGTGTGTGTGTGTGTGTTTTGTGTGTGTGTGTGTGTGTGTGTGTGTGTGTGTGTGTGTGTGTGTGTGTGTGTGTGTGTGTGTTGTTGGTCTATTGGGTTTTTGTCCCCGTTTCGTCTTGGTGTGAGTTTGGAGTTCTGTTAAATCCTGGATTTTGTTATTTTTGGGTTTGGTTTGTTAAAAATGCATCTTTTTGGCAGGCTTGCATTTTGAGTCCTTCTTTTGTTTTCATCACGTAACAAGAATTGTTTTTAACCTAGGTTTTAACATGGTCAGAAAAGCAGTGTTTGGTTGTTCTTCATCTGTACGACGCTAGATTTGCTCCGGTCTGGAACCAGCTGGACACGGGAGAAAAGCGCCTCTGTGTCCGTCTCTCAGACAACTGGCCGAATACAATAAAATGTCCTTTTATAAACTAACTTTGTACTTGTGTTAGGATCAAAGCAACCACGAGAGAGCAGCCGAATCTCTAAGATATACCCACACTTTGGTCCTCTTCATTCAGAGATTTGTGGTTTGTCTCAATGAAGAAGAATTGATGTCTATGTGATGTATGCTGTGGTTATATATTTAGATCTCATGTTGACACACTTTGGTGAAGACTCAATACTCATTTATAAAGTTGCAGTGAGTTTGTGTTGAATATTTCAGCAGATTCTTGTGTGCGTGAAGAGAAAAGACGTACTGTGGACAATAGCAGGGATTGTTTATTATGCAGTGACAGCCCACAGGGATTAAGTGTACATTGTTCAAAGCTCCACTAAAATAAGTGTACTATTGAGGCCAGCAGACATCCCCGCTGAATCAGAATGGGCTGATATACAAGCGTTTAGAGGTCAAGCTGAGCTTTGTCTGCGATGATTTATGATCCAGCGGCTCACCTACAGCTGAAGGGGAGAATACATGTCATCTAACATTGCTTTGTTAGAAAAACACAGTTTGATACTGCTGTGATAGATGGATTTGAAGTTAGCCGGGCTTTGTGACAAGAGCTGAGCGTGCTTGAGACAGAGGTGTTTAATCTTCATCCACAGAGCAGGCTCCGCACGTCCCCCCAGCGCCTTGTTTTCCTGTATTGATTAAAATGTGCCCTCTCCACCTTCCTGCTGTAAGAACTCCTTCAAAGGAGCGCAGTGGGATTATTCACACGGAGAAACTCGGCCCAGTCTCTGTCCTGTTGGATTGTTCAGCGCGGCGATCGGGTAAACAGCTCACGGCAGACCTGGGCAAAGCGTGGCCAGGGGACCACGTGCGGCCCGATTCAGGTTTCCACGTGGCCTTTGGACCTTTCCCATCCTTCGTTCTGTCTCCCCCTATTGATGAGTGCTACGATCGCCTGCTCATAAGAATTCATCGATCTGTGCAAGAATTGTAATCTAGAAGTAAAAAATGCAATCCAAATGGAATAATAACAAGAAGAATCATTTAGCTGAATGGACCAATGTATGATATCCCTTTCTCATATCTTTTGATAGAAGTTTTTACTTATGTCTAAGTTACAAAGAAAAAACTCCGAATGATAAAAAACACCGTTCAAGCTTAAAACATAAACTGTTTTCTTCACTATCATTTGCGTATTCGAATGTGAAAGTGTCAGCACTTACTTGGACATTGGTCATCACAACTACAGTTGTGATGACTACAGATATATATACTACAGTTTTCTCTCTTTCCCATGATGCATCACTCAAGCATTTTGGGTACAGGAGGATCTTTTGATAGAGATTTTTACTTAAGTCTAAGTTACGTACAAAGAGAAAACCCCACCCGAGGATGGGCCACATTGGAGAACCGCCCTCTCCACTTTTTGACAAAACTCTCGGGTCTTATTTGACGAGCACGTGTCACCAGAATGATTGACAGCTGGGAGGACCAATAGTCTTGATGATCCACCCGGAAGTAGAAAATCCTTCTATATACATTTAAACTGGAGACTGCAACTTATGGTTAATTCTTTCTTACTTTTGCAGCAGTAGTGGCAGACCCTCCACCTGTGCACACTTGAAACATATGCCTAAACACATATTTACAACTATTTCTTCCGCTGCACCTCCATCTGAGTTTTTGAACGTGAACGTGTCAGTGCTTTTACCACACAACTGCACCACTGCGAAGGTGCGACGGAAGCGAGCACTTAATGCGTGATCAGAGCCGTAGTCAAAGCCGTGTTTATTCTCTGTGGAGTTCATTAGATCCACGCGATACTCTTTTTTCTCTCCGTAGCTGCGACTCGTTCCCCCTGTGAGGTGATTTAGCGGCGGTCTCTGGGCGCTGGGAGCTGAGGAGCATGACCACAGATACACTGAATATATTAGACTTACACTCACAAACACACGGAAGGTTATTCTATCATGCAAATTAGCCAGTCCCCCTGCGCCTCGTCCCGCAGCCGCAAACTTATTTTAGGTTCTGCACTGCATGATTTACCTGTGCTGTTGGTATGGAAGCGCCGGAAAGGAATGTTTGTGTAGGAATACAAATAATATGTAAGAAAAACAACAAACAAAACATGCCACAAACTTTTACTGTGAATTTTATGTATTTTTGCTCTTTTCGTTGGTGTCGAACATTGGTCTGTGGCAGAGAGAAATTGTAATAAAATTGTAGTCAATAACAACAGCCATAATATAATAATGGCGGTCACTCAATATTGGGTAAGACTATCGGCATTGACACATGTGAGATGGAGGCCGCTGCGGTGGCGGAGGGCCCTTCCACAGCTGGGATACGTGAGGAAAGGGGCTATAGGGATGTCATGGAAAAATCATAGAAAAATTGTGGAAAAATTGAAGAAAAATTGTGGAAAAATCATAGAAAATTTGTGGAAAAATTTAAGAAAAAATGTGGAAAAATCATAGAAAATTTGTGGAAAAATCTCAGAAAATTGTGGAAAAATCATAGAAAAATTGTGGAAATCATGGAGAACACAAATGCGTACCACTGTACCATAGTTTCCCTGCATTCATGAAAACGTTCAGGATCATGAGTTGTGGAATCCTGTGGCGAGCTACCTGAAAGGGGGTGGAGAGTTACTGGCAGCTCCCGAGCCACAGGTTGGAGCCCCCTGGTGTAAAACTTTATTAACATGTGAAACTCGCCAACTGTTCAAAAGCCCATTTACTTCTGTAATTGAATTTATAATGATAATATTAATAATGTTTTTTATACCGCTTTTTTGGACTCTCAAAAACCCTTCACATGTCTTTATTCATTCTCTCCAAACATAGTGGTGATGAACTACTACTATAGCCACAGCTGCCCTGGGGCACACTGACAGAAGCGAGGCAACCAGTCTGTGCCATCGGCCCCTCTGACCACCACCAACCATTCACACACACACCAGACTCATTCTAATGTGGGGGAAGTGTCTTGCCTAAGGACACAGTAACAGTTTGGCACTTTACAGCCGCAGCCGCCCCACTGTGGCACCTGCTGTTCTCAGAGGTCTCCCATCACAGTATTAACCAAGCCCTGCCCTGCTTAGCTTCTGGATTCTGACGGGATCTGTCTTTCAACTGCAGGTGGCGCCACACACTGATGTACTGTATGACTCATTACAGCAAAGTGAGAGATGTCAAGCCTTTGATTGTAATGAAGTTGATAATTGGTTCACAGATCGTAAAAACGCAGCCGTAATCATCACAAGTAAATAAAATAAAAAGATTAAAAAACGCAATTGTCTTTTTGCAGAAACAAGTGTAAAAAATGTGTAGGAAAAAAAACACAACTTTAAGATTCTGTTCAAACGCAGATTGGTTTAGTGTCGCAGCATTATTAAAAACAAATACTTATTCAGCAAATTCTAATTTTCCATTTCTGAATAAAATCTTTAAAAAAAATGTTGCAAAAAAGAATTTGTGAAGAAGTGCGTGGAGGAGAGACAGATGAGGTGTAGGGTCAGAGAGCTTTTGTGCTGGTGTGTGTGTGTGTGTGAGAGTGTGTGTGCGTGTGTGTGTGAGAGTGTGTGTGTGTGTGTGTGTGAGAGTGTGTGTGTGTGTGTTGTGCGTTTGTGTGTGTGAGTGTGTGTGTGTGTGTGTGCGTGTGTGTGTTTGTTGTGCGTTTGTGTGTGTGTGTGTGTGTTGTGCGTTTGCGTGTGTGTGTTTGTTGTGCGTTTGTGTGTGTATTGTGCATTTGCGTGTGTGTGTGTGTTGTGCGTTTGCGTATGTGTGTGTGTTGTGCATTTGCGTGTGTGTGTGTTGTGCGTTTGTGTGTGTGTTTTGCGTTTGCGTGTGTTGTGCGTTTACGTGTGTGTGTTGTGCGTGTGTGTGTGTGTTGTGCGTTTGCGTGTGTGTGTTGTGCGTTTACGTGTGTGTGTGTGTGTTGTGCGTTTGCATGTGTGTGTTGTGCATTTACGTGTGTGTGTGTGTGCGTGTGTGTGTGTGTTGTGCGTTTGCGTGTGTGTGTGTTGTGCGTTTACATGTGTGTGTGTGTGTTGTGCGTTTGCGTGTTGTGCGTTTACGTGTGTGTGTGTTGTGCGTTTGCGTGTGTTGTGGGTTTGCGTGTGTGTGTTGTGCGTTTGCGTATGTGTGTGTGTTGTGCATTTGCGTGTATGTGTGTTGTGCGTTTGCGTGTGTGTTTTGCGTTTGCGTGTGTTGTGCGTTTACGTGTGTGTGTGTGTGTTGTGCGTTTGCGTGTGTGTGTGTGTTGTGCGTTTACGTGTGTGTGTGTGTGTTGTGCGTTTGCATGTGTGTGTTGTGCATTTACGTGTGTGCGTGTGTGTGTGTGTTGTGCGTGTGTGTGTGTGTGTGTTGTGCGTTTACATGTGTGTGTGTGTGTGTTGTGCGTTTGCGTGTTGTGCGTTTACGTGTGTGTGTGTTGTGCGTTTGCGTGTGTTGTGGGTTTGCGTGTGTGTGTTGTGCGTTTACGTGTGTGTGTGTTGTGCTTTTACGTGTGTGTGTGTTGTGCGTTTACGTGTGTGTGTGTGTGTGTGTGTGTGTCTCGTACCATCTGCGGTTCAGAGTACTGCATATATAAAACTGTATGTTCTGCACATCATATATTGTGTAGTATTTTGTATCTTTTAATGTTAAATTGTTGTGTATTCTTTGAGAGATTGTGTGTGTGCGTGAGAAACAGACCATTTCAAACCAGTTTTAGTCCGAAGATCACATGTGAAATTCTCTTTTGCAGGTTTTAATCAGACAAAAGTAAACAAAACCAACAACACTTTTTAGTCAATCAAATCAAATCTATAATAATCGTTTTAATCTTCATTTGTAAAGCACATTTAAATCAGCCGAGGCTAACCAAAGGGCTGTACAAATATATTTATACACATAAGAACCAAAAACGTGTCTCTTTCTACCTGGTATTAAGAGCCAAAAAGAAAGTCCGTCTTAAGCAAGGATTTGGAATTGCTCGAGATATTGTTCTCATGTGCAAAGGTAAAGAATAAAACAATAATATATCTACACTGTCTCTTTAACAATCGAATGCATGGATCTCTTGCTGGTTGAACTGGTTATTTCATTATTTTAACAAGGCATGGAGCCAGAAATACTACACACACGATAACAAGCATTAACCGAGTGAGAAGAGGGTGGTCATAATCAAAAAGCGTTGCTAAATTATTCATCAATGAACGCACAGAAACAGAAACAACTTAGCACCAGAACAGTGTCTCTCTTGTAACTCACTGATCCATCAGCTCCACGCAAAGCTGCGCCGAGCTGTGCCGAGCTGAAGGGTTCCAAGTTCACTTCAATTATTCAGCAGACCCCCAACATTATGAATTATTGATCTCAAAGTATGTTGCGTATGTGGCTGTAGCCGGGGCTGGAGACGGTGGCCGCTCTGGAGGCGGAGTGGGAGAAGGAGACGACACATTCTCAGCTCATAACAACTATTTTTATATAGGCAAGGCAAGTTTATTTGTATAGCACAATTCATACACGAGGCAACTCAAAGTGCTGAACAAAATAAGAAAGCATTAAAATCGTAAATAATCACAGAACATTAAAAAGAAAGATATAAATATAAAATCCCTCAGTTGTAGCACAGCTGAACAGAACTGTCTTTAACCTGGTTTTAAACATTGTCAGAGAGGAGGCCTGTCTCACATCTTCAGGAAGATTGTTCCAGATTTTAGCAGCATGAATCTGAAAAGCAGCCTCCCCATGTTTAGTTCTGACTCTGGGCACTAACAGGAGTCCAGTCCCTGTGCTCCTCAGAGTCCCAGCAGGAGTCCAGTCCCTGTGCTCCTCAGAGTCCACAGCAGGAGTCCAGTCCCTGTGCTCCTCAGAGTCCCAGCAGGAGTCCAGTCCCTGTGCTCCTCAGAGTCCCAGCAGGAGTCCAGTCCCTGTGCTCCTCAGAGTCCCAGCAGGAGTCCAGTCCCTGTGCTCCTCAGAGTCCCAGCAGGAGGCCAGTCCCTGTGCTCCTCAGAGTCCCAGCAGGAGTCCAGTCCCTGTGCTCCTCAGAGTCCACAGCAGGAGTCCAGTCCCTGTGCTCCTCAGAGTCCCAGCAGGAGGCCAGTCCCTGTGCTCCTCAGAGTCCCAGCAGGAGGCCAGTCCCTGTGCTCCTCAGAGTCCCAGCAGGAGTCCAGTCCCTGTGCTCCTCAGAGTCCACAGCAGGAGTCCAGTCCCTGTGCTCCTCAGAGTCCCAGCAGGAGTCCAGTCCCTGTGCTCCTCAGAGTCCCAGCAGGAGTCCAGTCCCTGTGCCCGCGAGACCATTTCCAGCAGCCTCTGAGATTATTTTAAATTATTATATTAAATAGCTGCATTGATGGTGATTGGCGACAATGGCATGTTATCCATTACTAACTTTCCCATAACATTTAATTCCATAAGAAATGTCAAGCCAACATGTCATTAGAAGTTATTATTATTCTATTATGCTTTTTACAAGTCTTCAATAACATTTATTAAAGATATAAAGGAGGATTTCCCTGATTTTCTGATGAAAGAACCGCCCTCTCCACAAAACTCTCTGGTCTTATTTGACGAGCACAAATCCCCAGAATGATTGACAGTTGGGAGGACCAATCGTCTTGAGGATCCACCCGGAAGTAGAAAATCTTCCTAAACACCTTCAATATTTGGTCCAGATTTGGTTCAGTTTTGGTTCAGTTTTGGTTCAGTTTTGGTTTAGTTTTGGTTCAGTCACAGAAACTGAACTAAGTCCAATCAGAAAAGCATCTCGAATCCAATTAATGTGAAGTCATTTATTTAGATACCTTCATATTATTAAAAAGCATAATAAATGAAACCCACTTCTTCTTCCCGCCCCTGATCAGCCCTTTCATTTTTTATTTGGCCCTCAACCAAAATGAGTTCGACACCCCTGATCCACAGTTATGGATGTGTCGACAGATAGCAGGGCTGTGGTTGAGCTGAGTTCGGACCCAGCGGATGGTCCACCTCTGCGGCTGGGAACTAAAGCGCTGGTGCATTTTGATAGTATTGTTAGCTAGTTTTAGAGCTGTCTGTTTATTAGTTTTGTTTGTGTGGATGGATGTGTTTCTGCTGCGACTGGACAGCTGAATTTCTCCCACGGGGATCAATAAAGTATCTATATATATCTGACAGAGAGTAGGTTGTGGGTTTGATTCACAGATTTGACTGTGTTGAGTTTGCTGGTTTCTCTCTGTGTCTTGGTGGAGTTTCCTCTGGCAGCGATAAGGTAAAAACTTAACTTGATATCATTGAAAATCCAAATTCTCCTTCTGTTGTTACCATCTGAGAATAAAATGTGTCTCCAGTAGGTTAGACTGCTGTGACGGGTGCTCACTGGTCTCTGCAGCGCCCAGGAACCAGGAAATACCATCTAATACGTCCAATTCTCAGGTCTCTGCACTGACTTCCTGTGGCTCAGAGAATAGTCCCTGTTTGTGTCTCGCCAAAGTACATCTGAGACAAGCTAGTGACACATAAACCAAAATGGCCTCCTGCTGAGACTCTGATGAGCACAGGGACTGACCTCCTGCTGGTCCAAGAGTCAGGTCTAAACATGCATCTCACATTGATGCAGCTAAAATCTCTAACACTCTTAAAAACAGGCTTCTTAAAACAGTTCTGTTTAGCTGCATACAACTGAAGGCTTGTACAGTATCTTAATGGACTTTGATATTATCTGCCATGCTACAAAAAAGTATACCTCACCATTTACCAAATCATAGAGAAACACATGAATTTTGTTGTTGTAGCGATTATTGTAACCATAGAATTATTGATTAAACTAAAACGTTGACATCCCCATGCATCCATCATAGAACGGACACATGTATTTAGGTGAAATTGGTCACATTTGGGAATAAAACTCTGCCATACCACACCATTGTGCCACATTCATTCATTCCTTGAGACTGTAAAACTGCTCTTCCGTCACCCATAATCCACATATTGGCGCTGTCCGGATTGTCAGACGTGCTCCATTGTTTGTTTGAAGACAGGGGAGTGTTTTGAAGCGTCCTCCTGCCTGACAGTGTGAAAGGTGTGGGAGCCATCTGCGTCCCCGGCTCCGCTCCGTCCAAACTCTGCAGCCGAGAGCGCCGGGGCCTCAGAAGACCAGCTCCGGTTGGGGCTTTTCTTGGCGTGATCCGGGCAGGAAACAGATGATACAATTAATTATCAATAAGTCTCTCAGTAAATCAAAGCCATTTTGGCAGCTCATGACAAAAAACCCAGCGAGTCTTTCCATCTCCTCATTGGCCATTCTCAACAACTGCTCTCTGGTCGTGAGCCTCCAGTACAATCCACAAGCTGTTTGAATATGGTTGTTCAAATATTTTCACTGCAGACTCGTGTCTCTGCTCGAGAGCGTGAGGTGAGTGCGCTCGGTTCCTCTGCCCATCCCTCCCCTTTAATGAGACTTGGCTGTGCCCACTCTTTATCTGTGTTTTAGCTCGGAATTTAAGGCCCTGCAGAGAGAAAGACAGAAGACATGTTTTATTGTCGATGGTAGAGACAGGCACGAAGAAAGAGGTTACAGAAGTGACTCCAGTTTCGTCTCGAGTTGATTTTAAAATGTGATTCTCTGTTTTTAAAGCCCTTAGTAGTCTCGCCCTCTGTACTTGTCTGAACTTTTGTCTGTTCGTGACTCGGGCAGATCATTGAGGTCCTCATTCCAACTCCTCCTGGAAGTACCTAGGACCAGGTTTAATACTGGGGACTGGGGAGACCGGTCCTTCTCAGTCCTGGACCCAGACTCTGGAACAAGCTGCCTCCTGACTAGGGGTGGGAACCTAAGGGTACCTCACGATACGATACAATACACGATACAAAGCTCACGATAACGATAATATCACGATAACGATTTTATCACAATAACGATTTTATCACGATAACGATTTTATCACGATATGACGATTATTGATATATTGGTCAGAAATATACAATATGCCAATTTATGGCATAAATAAAACAAAAAATACTCTTTATTTCATGATAAATAAAATGGAAATAAATAATGTAGCCATATATTAAGTATTGATACCAATTTAAAAACAAATTCAAAACATAAAATAAAAAAAAATAAAAACATTGAATCGATATTGATACTTGGCAAATGCATATCGATAATCGAAGCGGGAGAAAGTATCGCGATATATCAAAAAATCGATATATCGTCACACCCCGTCTCCTGACACACCTGTCCTCACTGAGTTTAGCCTTTTTAAATCGTGGCTCAAAACGTATTTATTCAGACTGGCTTTAACACTTTTATCACTCAATAGCAAGGTGACTTTTTTAACTGTTTTGTTGTTTTAATGGATTTATGTAATTTTATTGTGAAGCACTTTTGGTCGCCTTGAGTGTTGTGAAGGGCTCTATAAATAAAATTGATTGATTGATATTATACAACATCGAGGAATGGGGACCGTCCAATCAGCAGCTGCCAACGTGCCAGAAGCATAGGACCAAAACATGTAGTGGAAAAGTACTGCCTCGTGCATATTGTTAGAAATCCACTGCCGCAAATTCAGTTCAACGTAAATTGTACAACACCAAAGATGCAGGGATATTTGACAAGTTCCTTTGCAAAAAAACGGTTCAATTCAATGTATTTTTGTACGGCCCTCAATCACAACAGCAGTCGTCTCGGAGGGCAGGATTTTTCACCAATAGATGAGAGAATCCGATTCAGATTCAGTTTATTTGCCATTTGCAGTAAAACCACATTGGAATACATTAGCAAAAGTCTCCAGTGTGCACAGACAAATACAGACATAAAACAACATTAAAAGACAAAAATAAAACAAATAAAACAGTAAACAAATGTCACTGTCAAAACTGTTAGCGTAACGAGATGTCCTGCATCTCAGAGAGCGATATCTTCTGCCAGAGGGAAGAAGCTGGAACATGGCTTTCCCAGGGTGGCCAGAAGAGTCATTAACAATCCTAAGAGCTTTGTTTAAAAGTCTGGATTTATAAAGAACCTCCAGAACAGGAAGCTCACAGCCCACGGTCCTTTTTGCAGAGCGGAGCACCTTGTTTAAAGCTCTCTTTTCTTTATCTGTGATGTTTCCAAACCACACAGACACAGAACCAACAAGTAAACTCTCAATGGTGCAGCCATAAAAGTTAAGCACAATCTTAGAGTTAGTGGTAAATTCTCTAAGTTTACGCAGAAAGTAGAGACGCTGACGAGCTTTCTTAACGACCCGGTCAGTGTTTTTAACCCATTTCAGGTTAGACAGAGTTAGACCCAGAAACTTGCACTCCTCTACGATCTGCACCTGTTAACCAACAGTTAAACACAAAAATGCATTAATAACAAACACGTAGGAGACATAGGTTCATGAGGAGCAGGAAGATGTCCATCCATGTCTTTAAATGTCCTGAATCATCACATCCTGCAAGGAACGACTCAAAACCCAGAGGGGACAACAA